AACAAAATAGTATCTAGCCAACTATTGATTATACTTAGACACATTGCCCTCGCGCTTGGTTAATAAGATATAAGTACGTTATTATTACGGTAACCATGAAGTTTTTAAATGAAGGACCCATTCTACTTTTAGATTTAGTAATCTTTCTATTAAAATTGGAACTTTCAGATGGCTTCTTATTTTAAAAGAAAATTTACATGGGCCTTAGCTTATCTGGCATTGTCAATATTTATAAGAACTTGTCTGTCTTTCACAAAAAGAGAAAATTGGAATGACTTGGCACTTGGCACTAGTTACTTAACAATGAATGTAATTACGCTGAGGGGCCCTTGGGCCAACAAAGACACTTCTCTTTCTTTTGAAGGGTTGCTTCCTCTAAAGAGAGAATTTTTCTGTCTACTTCTTGGGGTTTCTACTTTCATTGGTTAGTTTGTTTTAAGACTTCAGCATTGGTATTTGGGAAAATTTATCCTTGACCTAATGGTGGGTCATGCTGCTACAAAATAATAACCTTTACCAAGTGTCTCTTTTGTAACTAAAGTGATTGTTATTAAGGTAAAGATTGGTGATGGATTTTGTTGTGATTTGGCAGGGTTACTACAACACGTTAAGAATGGAGGTGAATGAACATGGTATTGGTGTGACACTGGTGTGTCCAGGTCCTGTTCAAACAGAGGTTGTAGCAAATGCATTCACTGAAGATGTCAACAAGGTATGAAAGAATCAAACAGCAATAGAGTGTATTCCTTCAACCAATAATTTTTCTTCTCTTTCTTGTTTTAAGATAGATACTCTCTTGTATCAGAGAATAAGAAGTATTTAATAACTTTTCTTTGCAGACAAACCTGTCAAACCTTGTACTCATAATATCTCCGTGCCAGTTCTCTTTGTGCTGTAAAATTTCATTTGATTGAGTCTTTGGGAATATGATGTAGAATGGAACATTTTTCCCATGTGACATTTCACTTCTTCTCATCACCTCTGTACATGGATTTTTACTCTTTATTATGAAGAGAAATTCCACTCTTAAACTCCTTGGAGCTGGGGGTTTATGTGATAACTAAACATAAACTATACATATGATGCACGATCCTTGCAGTAGAGAG